TGATACCAACTGGTGCAGACCCTAGTAAGATATTGTCCGCTTTGGGCTACTTCCGCCACCCGCACGGCTTTGTTCTTGGCTGGGCTTCAATACGCACCCACCAAAACGCGTCTTACTAGTGAAGGTATCCACATCCTCATATAAGGCCTGCTTCGTTTCCTTTCAAACCCGATGTGGGATGCGCTGCATCAATAAACTAGTTGAAATAAAAAATTCAACTAGTTTATTTGAAAAGCTACCTAAAGTAGCGTATGAGATAAGTTCGAGCTTTTTAAAAAAGCTCGCCATACCAAACGAGACTTATTTAAATACAAAAAGTTTATAAACTAATCAAATAAGCTGTAAACTAGCTTATTCAGCTTACCAAACATAACCTATATGTTGACATATTATTTTACGAATCCTTCATTTCAATGTGCTCATATGTTGAGTCTTTTTAGAGGTAGCGTTTTAGGCTAGAAAAATTACTTAAATATTTTTTTTACTAAACAAGTTAATTAGCTTATTTGAGGGTATAAATTTATAAATGAAGTTCAATTAACTAGTTTTATATCAATCCACCAATATTCAAATAAGGTCAATATCCCATTTCAAATTCAAATATTTAAATAATGTTTTTTCTTATATAATAGATTACATTTATGAAAAAATTTCATCATAATAAATGTTAGAAAAATTAGAATCAAATAAGTGTAAAAGATTTCCTCATATTAGCAGAATCCTCTAATAATGTGCGGAATATTTTGACTATAGTCTATATATTGTTGAGAATATTTTAGTTGTTGATAATATTTTAGTAAAATTTTGTTAATGTGTGGAAAGTAAAAGATATAACAGTATATCACGATTCACGAGCTGAGAATCTCTCTTGAAGATGTTGGCCCCCCGAATTAATTATTCCCGATTTTACTCATATTCGGAACACAAGAGTAGAAAAGAACAAAAAAACATGTAACCTTTTAGAATTAGGTGAAGTAAATTTTATAAGTTATATGTATGCCTGTAATATTAAAATAATAAATTAGGTAATTGTATCACATTATGATTTGTCTCCATATAATAATAAGTCAAGTAATTGTATCATATTATAATTGTATCCATAGTTTTAAACTCAGCCCGGGAATCGACTGGGGCAGGTATCCGGGTTGCGGGTTCAACCGCCGGGTCACAGATTCAACCGTCGGGTCATCGGGTCAATTGCTGAACTGGATAATTAATTTAAAAATTTTTAAATTATATAGAGTATTTTTTCATATAAATATACATAAAAGTAACAAAATTAAATGTTTTATATATAAAACTTGTATATTAAAGTGTTAACAATATGTACTAGTACAACACCCGTGTATTACACGGATACTTGCTAATTTTTTTCTTAAAATCTAAAATTAATGAGAAAAAGTAGTTTGAAAATTTAAATATCTTTTATAAGAATATATATATTATTATATATTTATTATGACACTTTTTATTTGTGCACCTTACTTGTGTTATACTATACTAATTTTTTTAACTTACAATATATAACTACATTACATATAAATATATCAATTGAGAAATAATTTTATTTTTCTAATGAATTTTAATAAATATTATTATTTTTTATTATTATAAAGATAAATATAATTTATTTATTTCATATATACAATATGGATGTCAAATCGAAGATCATCAAAAGATGATTAATTTGATATATTATATATGTAAAACCGATAAGAAATACAAAAGTTATCAACTTTTAAAATACATTTATAATTCAATAGCTTATTGAAGGAAACAAATCAAAATTCAGGGATATATTAGTCACTTAGTGCCTCACTATGTAAAATTAAAAGAATTAAAGGGTTATATTAGTAAAAGTGATATTAAAAATTAAAATACCTAAGTTAACTAAATAATATTTATGAAATACCCGTACCTAGATTATTAATTACTAATATATCAATATTATTTATCCAAACCTAATTACGAAGCATGATTCTTCGTCAAATAGGATTCCGAAGCACCAGAAGTAGCCACGTAGGCTCAGTGCATTCGGGAATTATATATAGGGAGGATTTCATGATAAATATTTACCATATAAATATATACTAGTACGAATCTCGTGTGATGCACTGGTATGAAATATTGATTAATATTATAAATTACTAAATGCTCATTAAACAATATTTATAAGTTAGAAATATAGAATCAATATGTAATACGATTTACCTATATTAATTAGTTGAAAGTTGTTATATGAAATCCAAATTGTGCAAAATTACATAAAACTGTCTATTTAAAATTAATACACGACCTGCAAAATTACATAAAACATGTCTATTTAAAATTAATACACGATTGGTACGGTGCAAGTAACTGATAATAAGTTACATTATATTTATTTCAAAATAGATGTCATTTTAAAATTGTTATTTAGATATTCGATTTGACTACAATGTGATTTAAGTAAAAACAAACCTTTATATATACAACACACACATACACACACCAAATAATTTTATATGTTCCACGCACATTTATAAAGAAGAATGAAAAATAGTATTATCATGATTTTCTTT